GAAAGGTTTTGCCGCTCATCTGAGAAGGCTTCATCAGGTCATGCAACAAGGCTTGGTTCGGAATAATCAGCCTGAGTTGGTGTGGAAAACCCAATTATTTATGCTTCAAGTTGAAGACTTTCCCCACCATGACTTATGAGCTCTTTAAAGCAAACTAGTCCAAATCAGTGTACAAATATTTCCTAATTTTAAGGGGTTAAAATCAAAAGCCAAGAAATGCAAGCCGACAACCAAGCACATGAACTCAATGAACAACAACATCAAGTTCACAACTGAGGATTTCAAAGACAATAAGTGAAGACACCGAACACCCCATTCTCAAATAAGCAATCTGGTGTATGCAGTCAAGTGCAGTGACGAATGCAGATACATTGATTGGGGAAACCAAACACTGACCAGGCACATGGCGCAACACAGATGGGTTAACTTAGGGGTGCCCAACCTTTTTTTTGTCCCAAGGGCTACTTTTCAAGGAGCCAACCTACGGAGATCTACCACTCCAGTGTCAACATCGCACCCCCCCACCCCACACACACGCACACACACGAATCTGCATGATGAGCAATAGCCATAACTGAGCTTAATATGAACCAAACAGAAAAATAAACCAGATATGAAACAGGTAGATCTCTGTTTGGAAAAAGGAAATCACTTCCTACCTTAGTGGGAGACCTGGCACTTGGAGGATGAGGCTAGCTTTTCATAGTTAGTCACTCTGCGTCTTCGGTTTGGTGAAGATTGATGAAGATTGACTGCTGTGCTGCAAGATGTGCTTTCAAATCCCACACTTTTGTGGCACTTAAAAGTGTTTTTGCAGGGAAATCCGTGTCAAAGCTCCGATGTACCATTTTGAAATGCCGCTCCAGATTAACTTTCTTCGCCAATGCCACTGTTGCATTGTAAATCAAACAAACAGGCTTTGAATGAGAATAAACAAAAAAATAATCTTGCTCCCACTCGGGGTGAAAATGGCAGATCTTGGCTTGTTTCCCCTCAGCCATGTTGACGTTTTGGGGTGTGTAACCGCTGTAATCGCTCACTGCTCGCTTCTGTTGAAAGCGGTCAACTTCCAGCAGTGTTACCAACTCATCGGTAAGGAAAGTAGCTATTGGCTGTCCTAAATGTCGCTAAATGATGTAATCAGGGCGTGTGATTTACTTGGGGAATGTTGTTTTTTTTTCTTTTCTTTTTTTCTTTTGTAATTTTTATTTGTTGTTTTTTGTAGTTTTTTTGACAAAGAAAAGTTTACATTTACATCCAGCCCTGACTGTAAACCTGGCGGGATCAGCCAGCAGTGACTTCATTTGGGGGAGGGGCCACAACAGCACCAGGCGCTGCTTCTTGAGAACAGGCTGAACAATGTGCTTTCACACCACAGATTCCAAAAGTCTCCAATAACACCAGAAAAAAATCGGTAGATTGTCACTCGTCACTTTTTTTTTTTTTTTTAATGAGTCGCTCGAGAGGGTGTGAATACTCGCTAAATATAGTGTCAAAGTCGCTAAGTTGGCAGCACTGACTTCCTGTCATGTCATTAAAAAAAAACAACAAAAAAAACCCCTTTTTTTTCCAACACACCTCGCGGTCGCCTTGGGATCAGTCCAGTCAATCGCGGTCTACCAGTAGACCGCAGTCGACTGGCTGGGCACCCCTTTGTTGCATTTTCGTTACAACAGGCGCCGTGTGGGGTCAGTTGAACTGTGCAAGCCTCCACTGTGCAAGCCCCCACTGCACACATTCGCAGCATGTTTGGCCATAACATTTCACGTTGTTTGTCAGTTCCGTTTTTGCGGTGATTAAAAATATGAATTGCTGTTCCATGACATGGCAATCTCAAACAGTAAAGCCAATCAAATGCACAGAAGCTTTCACATATAGATGAGAAATCAATTTCCGTGTTTAAACCATTAGTTGCTGATCATGTAGTGGTGCACTCTCCTGAGTTGTGTGCGGGCAGCATGGGATCGGTTCCGACTCAGTGATGGTGCGAATGTGTGTGTGAATGGTTGTTCATCTCTGACTAACTGGCGACCAGTTCAGGTTACAGTCCACCTTTCGCCCAAAGTTAGCTGGGATAGCATCCAGCGCTCTCCTGCAACCTGTTCATGTGTTGGAGAAGGATGGATGGTTTAACCAATGACAGGGCCACACAACAGCGAAGGCAACTGGCACCTATCAAAATAAGAATCGAATTTGTACAGTACACATACAACTCACCGGCCACTTTATTAGGTATACCTGTCCAACTGCTCGTTAACACTTTTTTCTAATCAGCCAATCACATGGCGGCAACTCAGTGCATTTAGGCATGTAGACATGGTCAAGACAATCTCCTGCAGTTGAAACCGAGCATCAGTGTGGGGAAAAAAGGTGATTTGAGTGGCTTTGAACGTGGCATGGTTGTTGGTGCCAGAAGGGCTGGTCTGACTATTTCAGAAACTGCTGATCTACTGGGATTTTCACACACAATCATCTCTAGGGTTTACAGAGAATGGTCTGAAAAAGAAAAAATGTCCAGTGAGCGGCAGTTCTGTGAATGGAAATGCCTCTTTGATGCCAGAGGTCAGAGGAGAAAGGCCAGACCGGTTTGAGCTGATAGAAAGGCAACAGTGACTCAAATAACCACCCGTTACAACCAAGGTAGGCAGAAGAGCATCTCTGAACGCACAGTACGTCGACCTTTGAGGCAGATGGGCTACAGCAG